CGTCCACCACCCCAGGTCAAAGATATACGGCGTACATATACACGTCCACCACCCCAGGTCACAGATGTACGGCGTACATACACGTCCACCACCCCAGGTCACAGACGTATGGCGTACATACACGTCCACCACCCCAGGTCACAGACATACGGCGTACATACACGTCCACCACTCTACCCTCACGTCACAGACGTACGGCGTACATACACGTGCACCACCCCAGGTCACAGACGTACGGCGTACATACACGTCCACCACTCTACCCTCTGTCACAGACGTACGGCGTACATACACGTCCACCACCCCAGGTCACAGACGCACGGCGTACATATACACGTCCACCACCCCAGGTCACAGACGCACGGCGTACATATACACGTCCACCACCCCAGGTCACAGACGTACGGCGTACATACACATCCACCACCCCTTGTCCGGTCCACACGAGCACGACTCGACAGGAAGATGAATCTTTCATCCTCATTAAGCCACCAGCAACTCTGGTGAGTGGACGCCCGCGATTAGATGCACGCAAACGGCGGTGCATACACATATAATGATGAATAATGAATACAGGGCTGAGCGATATCGTGCTGATCTTTCTGTTAAACAAGACTGCGTGATTTGGGCATGAAAGTACTTTGTGGGAATTACTGGGAAGTGACACAAAAACAAAACAAAAATCCCCCCCCCCCTCCTGCGTTCTACATGTACGGAAAAGGGAAAACAAACAAAAGAAAACAACAACAACAACAACAACAACAACAACAACAACAACAGCAACAACAACAGCAACAACAGCAACAACAACCACAACAACCACAACAAAAACAACAACAACAACAATGAATTAGTATTTCATCGTCGGCTGGCTATTAAAATGTGCTATAAGCCCAGAAAGCAAAATCTTTCAGGACATAGAAAAAACAAACAACCCTCTTTCATTACTTCCACCATTGAACCTACATTCGGTATTTTTTCTTGCTTATTATTCAACATTCAGATTTCGAATTTCGGAGAAAAAAATCCTTCGTGCACAGATCAAGAAACTAATGTGTAATAAGACATCCAAAACTGTTGGCTTTGTACACATTCTGAACAGCTGTCCGACGGTATCGATGACAAACTCAACATGCTCTCCCTCTGTCTCTGACAGTTGAGATTAATTGTCCGCGGGTATTGTCTGGTGACGACATCAGAGGTCAACGTTTCCCGTGAGTCGAAGCGTCAGGTTTCTCTCAAACAGCACTTTTGATAATACGAAATCAATAAATCAATACCGTGTGCATATTATATCGATCTCCTCAAATCGACCCAACTGTTCAAACGTTATTGATATTTGATACGAGCGACAGAAAGGGCAATTGTTTTCGCAGCTTTGCAGCGGAGTAAGAAAGATGTGTGGAAAGGAACAACTGAGATGGAAAGTGATTGTTGTGTTCACGTGTGTGAGTGTTTAGTTTTAGAAAGAGTTTTACGTCGTTTGTAACTCAAATAGGTCATATATGTGTCGAAGATTAGAGGTGTTACTTGATACATGTGAATTAGTAGCATACACAGACAAGAAAAAAGACAGATAAGGATGATAGATTTTTTTTTTAAGAAAAGAAAGAGCATGCCACACCAAAGCACCTGCCAACCACCCCACAGTGTCAGTGACAAACAGAGGGCTATAAGGAAACAAAATAAAGAGGACAATATTGAATTTTTAATAAAAGAAAAAACTTAAAGAAATGAAGTACAACATTTTTGTTATATTAATACTCCCCTAACCTCAGGCGAAGAAATGTGACACGGTGAGATGAACTTTAGACCCGGCCCCTAGGCTAGTCGCTGACCGAGTGGCTTCCCTTAACACGTCGAGAGATTGCTAACGGAGACACATTGCCAACTATGAATCGTTGGGTTTCACAACTCCTATAACCCACTGGGTTTTTTTTCTTTCTTCTAAATTAATCTAGTTCTTTTTATGCCCTAATCGACACAATTTGTTTTAGTAAGAGTTCTACGGCACTTGAAACACAAAAAGGTCATATATAGTATGTGCCGAAGATTAGAGGTATTACAAGAGAGTAACAAACACGAAAAAGAAGGAAGAGAGATCAAGACGATAGATGTTCGATAAGAAAGAAGGGGCAAACCACTCCAGAGCACCCGCCAACCACCCACATCGATACAATTTATATCATTTTGGAGGCGTGGCAAGAACCTGCAAGAAGCAACATAGGCTGAGAAGGGTATAGCATTCCGGCAAAAAGGACAAAATAGTTGATAAACATTCCCCTAATTCAGGAATCAAACCCGGGTCTCTTGTGGATGACAGAGATGGGCCTTCTCGCTACACCTCAGACAGAGGTGTTGATATTGAGTACGTCAGCTATAGACGTGTTATTTATGTATTTATGTATTTATTTATTTATTTATTTATTTATTTATTTATTTATTTATCTATTTTAATTTAATGTCATTTATTTTAATTTCATATAATTTAATTAATCAATTTCTTTATTCATTCATTCATTTATTTATTTATTCATTATTTTTTATGTGTTTATTCAATTATTTATCTACTTATTTATTTATCTATTTATTTATCTCCATTCCAATATCCGGTTGACGCCCTCTGATTGGTATCAAAAGGGGTGCAGCTGATACTGTTAGCTACTGCATACATATTTAAAGTCGTAACATGTTAGCTAAAAAAACCAACCTTGTTATAAACCTCGTTAAACCGTAAATGATTAAACAAGTGATAGTATTTTACGTCCCCATGGACACAATTTAAATAATTTTAGAGGAGAGCTGCATTGGCTTTATTTGTCAGTGACAGCCTGGGCTCAGAAGGGTATAGCATCCCAGAACAAAGCTGCAGCAGATACTCTATACAAGAGACGTCCTGATTCTTTCATTCGTAGGTTTTTTCTTGTTCTAAAATTTGGTGTGCAACTATTGAAATATTCATGCACTGATTGTTCTAAACATGTGTCATCTTTTTATGTCATGGTTGTGATGTGTATAGTTGGGGATTTGAAGAAAATAACACTTCTGCCGTTTGAATAGAAAACCTAGTATCCGACAAAATCAAGTATTGTCACAAACTACAAAAAGGACAACTATTATGCTGTTTAAATTGATACTCTCGGTTGTAATGTTTTGTACATTCGTTGAATATATAATGTAGATATTCAGTTTCAAACTAACATAGACCGATGTGTACATTTTCAATTAAATACAATGTTTTCTTAAAAAACCAGCAATCTGCCCTCCCCCTCCCCATCCCCTAGATTTTTATATTCCCAGATTCGTATATACTTGGTTTTCCATTAAAAAGGCAGTGTTGTCCGGACATCACCAGTCCCCCCCCCCCCCCCCCCCGCCCCTTATTAATATGGTCTTTAAACAAACTATAAACAAAATAAACCATCAAAGGAAATGGTTAATTCATCCCAGCCTGACTCGGCCCAGTGGCAGAAATATGCAATATTTGACCCATGATAATATATATTTGCACAACCTGTATTCTTTCATTACGGAAACTTTATTTGACAAATGAGTGTTTTATATGATGTGATCTGGGCCAATGGCCTTAGACACTGAGTAAACATCCTTACTTACTCTTGACAAAAGATAAAAGAACACCAAGTCGTGCCATATGCAAGCATAGCCTACCACTTCCGTTTACCTCATTTGAGCACATTTCACTGTGGCGTTTTGGGGTAAAACTAAACTAAAGACGACCACCCCCCCCCCCCTTCTCCCATTCCCTGGTCGTAGTAGGCACATGGGAAAGATCGGCTACAAGGGGACTTATTGTGTGATCGCCGTAGCCTTCGTGACGCATTCGATTCATGTTAATAATGGGAGGTCGAGAGATATTTTTTTACATATTCCATTCATAAACAAAACTGGTGTTTGTTGTAAAAGGGTTAACACCCCCATCGACACTATAACTTAGATAATATAGGAAGTGGGCTTCCCAAACCATAATTTTGTGTGCAGGTACGTTCGAGCGATAGGGGATTAAGGCTTCATACAACGTCTTGTTTGTTTTCGTTTTTTATAAGAGTTTTACGGCACTTGTAGCGCAATTAGGTCATATAAGTGCCGAGATTAGATGTGGTACAAGTTAAGTTTTCGTTTTAGAAGAGGTTTTACGGCGCTCGCAACTGCATAAGGTCATATGAGCGCCATAAGATTAGAGGTGTTACAAGAGAGTAACAAACATTAAAAAATAAGAAGAGGAGATAAGGGCGATAGATGTTTGATAGGAAAGAAGGAGCAAACCACACCAGAGCACCCGCCAATCACCCACGAGGTATTATAAGAAAGTAGCAAGCATAAAAAGAAGGGAAGGAGACAGGGACGATAGATGTTCGATAGTAAAGAAGGAGCAAACCACACCTGAGCACCCGCCAACCATCCACTAAACATCATGTTCATGAGGGAATCAAACTCAAATTGTTCATTGTTCATGCGTTAGGCGGTAGCTCTAACATCTGCACCAGCGACACCGTGGGGTCTGTCCGTCTCGAAAAGGCGTCAAAATCTAACACTAAATAAGACACTGACTTCCTGTAACGTTTTGAACTATGGAGAGAAAACATCACAGTTGATGAACTACCTCGGTAGGGGATAACGCGGATATAGTTACACCAGCAACAAACTCGAGTGTACTAAACTCAGGAATAGTAAGCAAATACAATCGACTTCGTTTGTGCTGAACTCGCTTGAGTTGATCTTCGGTTAAGTTGATCTTTTTCTCAGGTCCCAGCACGACCTCTTCCTCTTTAAAGGTCCCAACAGTTAAGTTGACCCGTCGGATGAGTTTATCTGGTCACTTTTAAGCACAAGGGGGCTATCCCGAAAAATGCTGTTCTGAGAAAATCGAAGGTTAAGTTTTTGCCCCTTGTTCAGTCTCTATAAAATACAAGAAGAGTTTTCTCTATAACCGAACAAATATAAACACTAGTGAAACCAAATTTCTCCTATAAGTAGAGCAATGCCCACTTTTGGTATAGGCCAAAATTTCTGGAACTCCCCGAAATCTGGTTTGGCCCGCTTGTCCTTAAAAGCGACCATCTTTTTTTTCACACCCTCGACGACTTCAACTCATCCGTAGTCGACTGTATTTATTTACACAGAGTACAGTAACATCAGGCGACCTCTAAGTCTGGTACATCCACATGACGACCGGCTCAAATATAGATGGCGTAAGCCCTGTGTGACCATTTGTGAGGCAGTGTGGTGGAATCAGGCTCTGGTTTAAAAAATCGAAGTGAAGAAACTGGCATTTATCTGCAGGTTTGTGAATATTTATCAATTCTTTGCTTTTTGGCTGAAGACCTTTCATGCCCATTGAAGAACACATTTCTGTCTGGATTTTACCGAAACACGTTGTTTAAAGGTGCGAAAAATCCGATGGTTCACGATTGCTTATAGCCCAAATGGAATTAAAGCTTTTAAATGTGAGACATGTGGCAAACCTTTTTCTGCCAGAATTGCTCTCACCGGTCATAGCAGAAGCCACAAGTCATGTTAACCTTACATTCTCCAAATTCTGCTATTTCGCTGAAGAAAAATGTTCACCTCTGCGGAAAAAGTGGTCTCGTCTTCGTCAGATATTGACGCTATTATTATCATTACGCCCATACGGACATGAATATCTTTTTGTTAACTTTTAGTAAGTGTTTTACGGCACTTGTAAACCAATATGGTCATATAAGGGGAGATAAGGATGATAGATGTTTGATACGAAAGAAGGCGCAAACCACAGCAGAGCCCCCGTCAACCAACCACAGGAATATCTCCGAGATTTCACCATCATGTTCTGCCCAGAGGTGGACAGCATACGTTCAGTTACATCTACTTTATTATGAGTATTTTAAATGGAGGAAGCATAAATTTGCAAAGCACAGACAGAAGGCACGTAAGTACGACAGAAACTGAGAAAGCAAAAGACTGGTGTTTGTTTTAGAAAGTGTTTTACAGCACTTGCAACACAATAAGGTCATAAAAGTGCCGAAGATTAGAGGTGTTACAAGAGAGTAACAAACACGAAAAAGAAGGAGGGGAGATAAAGACGATAGATGTTTAATAGGAAAGAAGAAGCAAACCACATCAGAGCACCCGCCAATCACCCACTAAAGACTAGTGTCTTACGTACAGCTCAAATGGAGACGGCATAAGTTCGGTACGTTTACACCATACATTTCAAACGGAGAAGGCAAGGCACACTTCTGATTATTTTCACCATGACGTACTACACAAACGGAGAGGGCATAATTCCTACATTTCACGATGGCGTACGGCGCAAATACGAAGGGCAGAAGTTTGTCACATCTACTTCCTGAACATCTCAAATGGAGAAAGCAATACATCTGATATTTCACCGCATCTCGTACACCACAAACGGCGAAGGCATAAGTCCAATTTTTTTCCCGTTACGAGGAGCTGCGATCTATTGGCATAAAGAGTACAGCTCCAATGAAAAGAATGTTAGTCCCGTGCTTCACATTACGTATAGCTTAAACGGAGAAGGCATTAGTCCAGTGTTTCGTCACATTACATACGTCCCAAACTGAGAGGACCTAAGTTCAACGTGTTCACATTATATTCAGCTCAAACTGAGAGGGTGTAAGTCCAATGTTTCCACATTATATACAGCTCAAACTGAGAGGGTGTAAGTCCAATGTTTCCACATTATATACAGCTCAAACTGAGAGGGTGTAAGTCCAATGTTTCCACATTATATACAGCTCAAACAGAGCCGGCATCATCGAGTCGACTCACAAGCCACAAGGAGCTCAGCCAAATTCGATACGATTACCAATACTTGGCGACTGATACTTCTCTGCCAGCCCTTCCAGATTCGATTCCAAAATAAGGAGAGTGTATGAGTCATGTATTTTTGAGATTTTTTTTTTCTTTTGGATTTCTGATTCTGATTACTCCGCGCATCCACAAGTGGGCGTGGTGCTTTTTTCTGCAAAATAAGGACAACATTTCTCGCTCTTTTAGCTTTCCGCAGTTGCGAGTGCCGCAAAACACTGACCAAAATCCAAACTTTTCTCTGCCATATTGTCTCACTGGCCACAGAAGTGGTCTAAAGTCACCATAACCTCTAAACTTCTTCCATTTCGCAATTATTCCCCTCTGCACATGCATTGGTCATCGCCATAATACCTTGACGGACGAACTATTGTCATTATTATTTACTATTGTACTGATTAGAAAGAGAGCAAATATTTCAACACACGGCAAACAAAACTTTGTTTTTTTTCTCCCATCCATCTGAGTGTCACTTAGATATCCCTAACTTTATATTTCAATCTTACACTGTAGGCCAATTCAATTAGTGAACAGATCAAAATGACTCAAATTACGCAAAAATCCTTCCAACAAACGTGTTTTCCCAACAAATTGTCCAAAACCACCCAAAAAATTTTTTTTTAAAAATAAGGCACAGTCTTGATAAATCATCTTTTTTTTTTCTATAAATTACTGTTCGATCGATTAATCAACACAGACAGTTCAAACACAAAGTCAGAACAAAAACACGGAAAGAACTGGAGAAAAACGACACGGGCTGAAGGGAAAGGACAAAATCGAGAGCCATTGTTCCAGCATTTTTAAGGCTTCCGTTGATATGTTCGTTTATTTCCTGCAGCAGAAAGGCAAGAGAGAACAAAAAAAAAATAATGAAAAACTCAACAGAAAACTGAACGGTATCTCTCAAACATGCACCAGAAACATGTTGGGTTATTTTTTTCTGCAGTGTCCCCAGATAAGATAATTTCCTCTCATAACTGACCAGAGAACCATAGGCCTACGGAAACACGCTGTCTGTCTGTCTGTCTGTCTGTCTGTCTGTCTGTCTGTCTGTCTGTCTGTCTG